TTTTTTTTTAGCATATTTCTTTTCTTATTACACCTCTAACATGTAATTTCTAGTTTGAGTGACTACGGGTTTTTTTCTTAAATCAGTTGAGTCAGTTATGCTCTCTATGTACCTCTGAAGTCTAAGAGATTTAGGCTCTTAACTATTGAAAGGACTGGAGTATAAGGCTGAGTATGATACAGACAGCAATTTCCTGCATCTCAACAGTAAAAGGGAATGGATGATCCTTTGTTATTTTTGGTTTATTTTTATTTCAAATGTGTTGTGTTAGGCACGGAATTACCGTCATCCCCTTATGTTGCAATTTAGTCTCGATAACTGCAACTTTCAGTAACATTCCATCCCAGTGACTCATAGCAGATGGAAGCCTCAACTCTACAGAATTTAATAGCAAAAACAGTCGCAGTTTGGGAAGGGATCTGGAATTTTTTGCATCAGCTTAAGAAGATTTAACAGCTTTGAGTTCTGTCCAGAAGTTAAAGGTAAACATTTAAAGTACCTATGAGGGAAGAAGGAAGAAGTTTGTTTAGTTTTTATCAGTATGGTTTAAAAGAAATGTATTTTTGAAGGCAGCCATATAACTGGGGCAGTGCTGATAATGATGTATTAATGTTTTACCAGGATCTAGCTATTTTCCTGTATTTCTATATAGTTAATAAACCAAATATTCAAATCTGCAGTTTCTATATTTGCATTACTATATGGCTGTATGAACAAGGCTGCTTTTAAAACCTAAAAGTAAATCAAATCAGAAATTATTTTTCTGATGAGGAAAAAAGGGCAAATTTTGTAACACCACCAAACTTAAACAAAGCAAAATTTTGCATGAATTTAATAATTTGATTTTTAAGAAAGCAAACAAAAACCTTTCCAGTCATTATCTATCCTTTTGGCAGATTTCCTCCTACCATTATGGTACTTATTAGCAATGCAATTATTAGCAATCTTATTGACACTAACAGAAACAGGCATCTGTATTGCATCTAGCTTGCTGTCTCTTAACTTAAAAACCATAATAATATTGCAATGGTTCAAAATTTTCATAGCACAAAACTTCTTTAATGTCATCAATTCTATTGAGTAGTTTATTATTCAAAGACTTGGAAAAATCATCAAGTGTAGGGGAAATTTGAATCTATAATGAATTATCTGTGTATCCTTTAAAGAAAGCCCCAACGTGGAGAAGAAAAATGGTGTCTTTCTAGAATTTTGGTTCCATAGCTTTGGAGAAAAATTTCTGCTCAACTGTGCATGTGCATATTGCAAGTTTAATCTTTGAAAAGTAAATGAGTAACTCCAGGGATAAAATTTCAAGGTTTCACAAAATTTGCACTTAAACTTTGTTTCTTTAAAACAGAAAGTGCTACTTTTTTTTTTTTTTTTTTCCCAGCTATCATGCTTAAGAAAGAGGCATCCTTAAATAGAAAGGTGACTTCATCCAAAAAAAGACAAACTAAACCAACTGCACACAATCTAAATTCCTCAGCTATTAATTCCTTTTGTGCAGTTTGCTCATAGTAGCTCATACATGCTGTAAGGCACTTACCTGCCATGATTGTTCCTCATAGTCTTTTTTTTTTTTTTTTAAACTAGCATAAATTTCTCTGAAAAGTATGCAATATTTACTTTATACCTTTTTTTTAAAAAAAAAAGAAAAACCAAACCAAAAGAATACTGTAGTTGTAAAGCTGCGCAATCCATTTAAGATTGATTGTGGTATTCAGCATTCACAGTCAGTGAAATCATGATAGAACATTTCAAAGACTAATGTGGGRGAGAATACTGTGTTTTCATAATTGAAATAACAGGGATGAAGCAGAACATATGAAATACGAGTCTTCCAGTGAAAAAAATAGAGTTCCTTCTCTCCTAGAAAACATATTTAAAATGTGCAAGGGGTTGGGACAATAGTTATCAGAGACAGATAATTTACAGGGTGTCCAGATAGTTAACGTACTCTTTGGTTACTCCTGTCACAGACAGTGTCATCCCAACAGATGGCAACAGCTGCTTTCAAATCAGAAGTGGCTGTAATAGCTATAATTACTAGTGCTGTAAGGTGAAAGTGCGTGTTTTATCATGGCAGAAACCCTTGACATTTAAATGACAGATTCATTGCCAGGCAATTCTTGCGGATTCCTCACACACACTCCTACCACCCATTTTTAAGCCTGTAGTTCATAGGATTTACCACTTCAAATAAAATCAGAATTTATTGCACTGAATTCTAGTAATTTCTAATTCAAATGACATACCATTTATTTGGTTAGCATGAAGGACAGCTTACAGTTTTAAATTCAGCAAGTTTGTGGCATAGAAATAACTTCGCCTARGATTTTCAGTTCACGTTTTTACTCAAGACACATTTGATAGATAATTTTTAATGGATTCCTTTGGAATCCTCAGAGATAGATGTCAGCTTAGTATAGGGCTTTGCAGCTTAGTGATAGATGTTGTATATGTCCAAAATGCTTTAAAAGACTTCTGAGCTGCTGCTACATGGGTCAATGGGTACAGAGTACCCTCAACAATTTGTGTCTGCATCAATCCTGTGCAAGAAGTGGAACAATGAGCTTTATACAGATACACTGTACCTGTATAAATTTGGGTCTCAAAACTCTGTGCTTTTGGATATGATGCTTTCAAACCAGCAACCCTTGGWAGTAAAAAAACAAAACAAAACAAAACAAAAACACACCAGACCAATGGTCCTTACTTAAATAACTGTAATTWAAAAAAAAAACCATCCTAAATATTTTATAAGCAGGTGTTGAAGTCTGAAATTTGTCTGGGCTGTAGTTTGTAGTCTTGCATGAAAAGATGTTGTTTTCAGAGATTGGTGAAAATATAGTTGGACTTGTCCAATTTTACATGAACTTAAAAATGTACTTCTCATAAGTACCTTGCTCATCTTTGTACAGTAAAATGCACAGTCCGCCAAAGTTTCACTGATGTTTTATATAAATTCCCATAGAACATGAGTGGAAATTTTTGTAAATTTGGTGTTTCAATAAGCACAAGATGGAATTGCATCATTATTCTCTATTATAMGTCTTTCACTTTGTCTAACCACAAGTGCTTTAATGTCACCATCCCTGGAAACATTCAAAAAATGTAGATGTGGGCTTAGGGACATGGTTTAGTAGATGACCTGTCAGTGTTAAGTTAACAGTTTGACTCAGTGATCTTGGACATCTTATCCTTAATAACTCTATGATTCTATGTAGTTAGCTGATTCAGTTTAATAAGTAGGAAAAGCAGAGTGGACACATAAATAGGTGTTGGCATATGCTAAATGAAAATACTTGTAGTTAAAAATGAAACATTCCTCAGTTGATAGCTTGTAGGGGTTTAAGTAATTAATTAATGCATAATCTATGTAAATATTTTACTGATTAGAGGCCTTGGTTTCTCCTCTGTGAGCTGAAAAGCACATATCTGTCTTACAAAAAAAATGGAAGTTCTATCAGCTAATGTTTGCAAGGCAGTGAAATACAGTGGTGATTGGTTTGGCCTATAAAATAATTTGCATATGAAACAATGGGGTTTAAAATGCCATGGGTCATACAGTACAATGTATCATAGCTATCAGTTTAAAGATGTCATCCATGTCACTATTAGAATAAAAGCTGAGAACTGTTTTGGATTTTCCCCCCAAATTACTCCATAAAAGTAAAATTATCTTGATCCTCTCCTGGTGCCCAAAAGTTGCACAAATCTTTAGTTCAAGAAAAACTAGCCCAATTAAGATTTTAATTACTTGTCTATGAGAGAGACCTTTCTCACAAATTTATAGGACCAACAATTRCCCTACTTTTTAGCTTCTTTTAATTTTTTTTTTTTTGCTTTTGTCTTCAAAATAAAATATTTGAGTTTGAATCTTGAATACCTGTCCTAAAATGTGTGGAAAGCTCTACTACAAAGTGTCCTAAATGGATAAATTCTGGTTTTACTGGCTTTTGGAGCTGTATTTTATCAGACTATTTTAGACATTTGTAGTGAAGCCTGCACATACATTATATTTACAATTTGTAATAAAAGAATTACAGGTTAAATGGACTCTTGAATAAGATTTTAAGATGTCAAGTGCAAATATTTAGGTTTTATACTTAACTAGTTGCTTTCCTTTGTTGCTTTACTTCACAGCTTCCAAATGAAGATTCTSATAATGATTGATTTTGTCCTTGCAGCTAGCCTGATGGATGTCATTGGCAGCTCTGTAAGTTCTAGTAATTAAATTCATCTATAGAGTTTTTTCTGAACACTGTATACCTTGTTCTCCATAGTGCTCACAATCTCTGCCTGGGATGGTAGAACCTTTGATAGAAAATACTAGAATTCATTAAAAAATGTAAGAAGGGAGAAACAACTTCAAATGATGTTCAGTGGTGGCAAGTTTCTAATAAGGAAAGAGGAAAAAATGTATAAATTTGCAACGGAAGATAAATCACTAGGCAATGGCATAGAASAAAGAAATCCAGTCAGTTTATAACTGGATCCGATATGAAACAGGAGATGATATATCTTTCCTAAAAAAGATATCATACCATTGAGGCACTTTGTACAGAAGGCACACAAGATGATTAAGCTACCATTCAGGGATAATGCGAACGCAGAACACCTGTAGTTTTGAGCAGCATATTTATCGAAAGGCAATGCCCAGGAACTCCTAAAACAGTGGCTGCAGCAGTGATRTTTCTGGTCACTAACACTTAGTATGCAGAATATTTTCTACCTTATCCACTTGTCATACAACTTTTTTTTCAAACAAGATCCATAACTTCCTATTCTTACCTGTTTCCATGTAACTACATTATWATTCACACTCAGAAACAATGATCAAAACTCCTTCACCTCAAGCTCCCAAAACCCCCTCCTATACATTCTGTTTCTCCTACAAAACCCTAAAAAAATCACACTTCCCAGTTTAAAATATCTCTAGCCTCACCAACCCTTCACTGCCTGTCTTGGCTTTCCTTACTTGTTTGATATTCTGATCCTAAATAGGAGAGACCTAAAGGGATTGAATTATTGATTCATAATTGCCTAGTGGTTACTGAATTTACAACTGTTGTTTGTGGTTTACTTTAACTTATTGAAAACTTGTTCAGGTGAGTAGCTTTACAGAGGCAGCATAGGAAGCATCCACCTCTGTAATAATTTCTACTCAGTGGAGAAAAGCAGTACCTATTTCTGCAAAGGTCAATTGACAAAAGAGTCATTATAGTTAAATGCATTTACTTTTTTTTAACTATTGTTTTTTTATTTGTAATATTGTGGACTTTAGCTGACCTTCTGAGTAAAAGGTGGGAATATTCTGAACTTCATATAAAGTTCTCACATTTTAATCTTATTAAAGCACTAATCTCAATATAGAGATGTTTTGGACCTAGTTTATATTATAAAAGATTTAGGAAATAGCRCCACAAGTAAAAGGTTTGTATTTTTATAGTTTTCTGAGTCTAGTTTATAGCAATAATTTTACTGAAAGGTCACTAACTGCTAAATTCACRCAATAATGAAAGTGAATGCACATTAATTGCAGCAGCTGGTTAAATGTGGGATTGTGTGCCCAAGAGCAGAGCTGTCAGCAGTTGTTAGATAATTGCTTCTCAATGTGTAGTGCAAACAGTTGCTTCACTGAAACAGACAGAACAGGTTGTGTTCAGTCTGCTTTCAATCAGTGGGCACCACAGTCTACTGGAGACAGCCACAATAAAATTCACATTTTGATGAGTATTTCAACATTATAATGGTTTAACTTTGGTCTATATATAAAAAATGGAATAGCAACATGTTATAGCTGCTGATTTATAATCCTTGTTTTCATTTTGCTTCTGTATTACTCTAGCTGTACACTGGTTTAACTCCAATCTGTATTACTTAACTCCAATGATTTTAAAAGGTTATTCTGTAAAAAAAAAAAAAAAAAAAATAAAATAAAAAAAGGGTAGTGGCACATTGAAAGAACAGTCTGGTAAACTGAAGATTTAAAGCTGCATTGGTCAACCCTGAAGTTGCAGTTACCTTGTGAGCGTCCCTTAGGAAAAATAGACATGGAATTCCAAATACAAGAGCCGTGGTTTTGCTGTTCAGCAGYAAAGTCTAATGGGATTTCTCTGGAGCTGACAGAGAGAGTCATCAACGAGAAGGCTGATGTCAGGGAGAGAAAGCAAAGTATCAGATACCAGTTCTTTTCACCTGTATGTTACTTTCAAAACTTTACTTCTGCTCTTTTTTTTTTTTTTTTTTTTTTTTTTTTTTTTTTTTTTTTTTTTTTTTTTTTTTTTTTTTTTTTTTTTTTTTTTTTTTTTTTTTTTTTATGTGCAGTAGTTATTTGGTATGGCTAGTCATGTCTTGATTGTCACGTCCAATTTATTGTCACTTCCTAAGTGCTGAGAGATTAAACATTTTTAATCAGGAACTTGCCATGTGTAATGTAGATATGTTGCTGGTCACCCTATCATGAGTATATAGTCTGTAAAGTAGATGAAGATCAGCTCATAGTTAGTTTTTCAATTTTATGAATTAATTCATAACTTTAATTCATAACTTTAAGAATAATATTTAGAGGCGTAGCTGTTGCAGACTTGTGTTTAATTTGGTTYAAAGGAAAGGACCTTTTATTGTGACAAATGAAGTAGTGTCATACTGAATTTAGATACCAAGTTTTCTAAGGTATGATAATATTTTTGAGAAGTTCTGTACTTCCATTATATAATTTAATCACAGTAGGAGTATGGTTTTTAGCAGTATGAAAAGGGGAACTGATAGATGTATTTCTACTACACCCGAATGAAACACACTTACCTGCCTGTAGCTGCATCTCCTCAAGTGCATCATCTCTTGCCCTTTCCAGCGTGGAAGGTGGCTCTCTGTGGTTCAGATCTTGCCATGTATTAAAGAGGTTACTCACTTGAAGTCTTGTCTATGAAACTGCAGAGGTCTGGCAACAGGGGCCACTTTTTCCAGGTCTCTCCTATTGCACTTTACCGTGTTCTCCAAGKTTGTGAGTACTGAGTTCAGATTGACACAGTCTAACCTCAGTAAAACTGCTAAATGTGGCATGGTGGCTTCTTTATCACTCTTGCCTTAGTTTGATTAGAATTAATATTTTATTAATTCTAATAATACTAATTAATATTATTAATCATACTAATTAATATTATTAATCATACTAATTAATATTATTAATATCCCATGGGATCATGGGAATTTTCTTTATAGTTTTACTCTTATAGTTAGCATTAACTCACCACATTGAGCCTGGAAATATTTTCTCAATATTTTAAAAATTTATTCACTTTTTCACAATCCGCCTGTGCATCTCTTTCTTCAAAGTTCTGCAGTCCTCTGTAATTTTCTGTATGTACATGGGACTAGGGTCACCATTTGCAGACGCCTGTCAAAGAAACCTCTTCTGAATCGCCCACTGACTTCATTCCCACTGAATTAAAATTCAGCTTTTTGAAGGGTTTGTGTGAAGCCGCAGATACAACTGAGACCATGGAAAGGCTGCACAATAAACAGTGCATCTTTTCATTGTAATAYGCTATGTATCTCACATTAACYGGTATCRTTAARTRACATCCCTCTAATCYACTGTAGCAACTTCGTTTCTGTGTRTCCATATATATTAACAAATTTCTTCTCTTGTTTCCAGCTAGAAGAAAAGGATTACATGCTAGGCATCTAGTATAGCTATCGATATAGCCATGTCGTATAGCTATCGACAACTGAAAAAGATTTCCAAGAGAAGGTTCTTAAATAAGATAGGACCTTTGGAATATTAGTGGGTCATTGGCTGCTGTGTTCCTCTACAAAGGTGTTTGGTGAATGTGGCTCTGGCCTTGCAGCGTCCCCTTGTGGCCAAGCACTGCCATGGTTCCCCAGCGCCTCCTCGGCCAGCGCACGGCRCCGCTGCGGACACACCCGCGGGCAGAGCCGCCCGACGTGGGCAGCCGAGCACAGAGGGGCTGCTGAACCTTTCCCTCTACAACACGTCGCTGACAAATTGCCTACTTATGCCATACATATATACATTTCCCATTCTTTTATTCCACTATGTGTATTAGATTACAATTATGGATGAATTACAGCAAGTCTCCGATAAACTTCAGTAATACTTAAGGCATAATGAATTCAGGATTGTTCTGCACAGTCTCATGATCAGATTTTTCAGTGTAACTCAATATTGCAAACCAATGGAACATTTTGTTGAGACTGCACTTGGACAATGGGTGAAGCATGAGCTTGATGCAGACTTAAGTATGCAGACACYGCTGAAGTGCAGACACTTCACTATGCACAGCAGCGTGCTATTGCAGACATTTCTATAGCTGGGTGTGATAGAGCAACATTCTGAGATATAAATTCTTCCATATGGATGGCAAATATTGCAGGTCTACGTGTAAATAATGTTCTCTATAAGTAAGGTAGCAGCAGTTCAGAACTACTGGAAAGTTGATCTTACATGTCAGATTTCCAGAAAGTCCCCCTTCGATTTTGCCTTTGCAGTGCTAGTTGTGCTCTTTTACAAGAAGCATAGCTGCCAAATTCTGCTCACATAAAATTGCAGACAGTGTTACTGGTGCAAAACCTGTGCCATGTTTCCAAAGGCTTTTCTCCCTCACACTGAAAACAAATTTATTTAATATCTATTTTAAACTGTACAAACTGTTTTAATTTAAGCTCCCTAGATCCCGTTCTGTTCACTTTGGCTATGWTACTGTAGTCTTTAATCTAAAACCAATTATTTATTGCTCAGCATGCATTCAGCATGTCAGAATTTGGAACAGCTATTCCAACTCTTGAGGTCAAGTGAGTGCTAGGCATTGCTGTATCAGAATTATCACATTTCTCACCCACTTTGCATGGCAAAATTAAGTGTACAAGTCACAGTGCAACACTACCTTTTGTTTTAACTTTTATTTTTCATACTTATTCAGAGCTTTTTAGGGACTATTTCAGCATGCCAAAATGAGCTTAACAATATTTATGTTGGCAATGTTAGCATCCTTATCATAAGAAGTGTGTATTTAAAAGCATTTGAAAAATGCCCAACGAAGTTGAAAACATATCCATGTGGATTTCATTTCCTTATAACTMTTTAGAACCTTCACAATGTTAGTAGCAGGCCTTACTGGATAGCAAATCTCTGTGCATGACAGATGACAGAGAATAAGCCATCCTTATGATAGGGCCTCTATTATGGTGTTTTTCTCCAAAGTCCCCACTGCATGTTTGCAGTTGGAGCTGGTAGCACTAAAGAAAAGGTCTCTTTGCAAAGTGTTCATCATATATTTTATACATTACACTCAGTAATAGATGAAATGGTTTTCAACAGAGGTAGCAGTAGAGGTGGAAGTCTGTAGGGTCTGCAGGAAATTGTGACTGAAATATTTAATTCAAGTTAAATTTTATTTATGCATTKGTTGGTTGGCTTTTTGTGTCACATGTTAAATATCACCAAAAATTGTTGATTTTACAATAAGATGCTTTCCTCTCTAGGATCTACAGAAATGTTTTCAAGAGCAATTATGGCTTCAGGGCCAGGTGAGGCTTCTGGAACATCGTGTGAAACAGAAACAGTTAAAAATTATACAGCTCTTAGAGAAGAAAGAAATTCAGTACAGTGACAGAGAAGATGAAAACAGTGTCATTGACTTGGGAGGAAAAAGACAGTATTCAGGTTAGAAATGAGGCTATTCTTTTCATTTCTATTCATTGTAATGATACCCAGAAGCTTKTGAACAATTGGGCCTATTGAGTTATTGTTTTAAAACCTCATMATAGAATAATGTTTGTTTAAAACACAGTGGTCAACTTTTACCTAGACCTGCTGCGCAGGGAAAAATTGTTAATGTGAGATGGTAGAAATCAAATCAGGATTTAAGAAGTTTACTGATTTATTAATAGTGCATAATTAAAAACAATCAATGGACAAATTAAGCATGAATTTCAGCAATACAACAGATAAAAACCAATAATAGATTTATACAAAATGTTAGTCAGCCATTACAGGTTTCTGAACACTGTTCTTTAACTAATCTGAAAAGTTCTAACAATAACTAAGAGGATTAGGTCACATTCATATATTCGAATGATTGCCTGGGTTACAAGCACACACTGACTTTGTTCCAATCTGTCAAATCCCTGAAACATCCATATTTACACACATAAGCCTAGCATAATGACTTCTGCATTTCACTTTAATAATATTCTTATGTTGTACTTTGACTGAGTTGGACTCAGCTCATGACATCACAGTTTCTAAAATACTGGTTTGAAGTTGTTTTWGTAATCTCACCAGCATTCTAGTTGTGATACACTTCTTCTGCAATGGAAGACTCACAGGAGTGGCAGTGAGGCCCAAACTTGAAATTATAAAACACCATCCAAAAAATCMGTTGGATTGAAAATAGAATTTAGGAATCTGACTCCTAGATAGGGTTTGTTTCTAGCTGCCCAGTGCTAGAAAGTCTAAACTACTATTATTTTTAATAGTCTTGTTTAAATACACTTGTAGTGCTTATACTGCTGGAAGAAAATCCAACATATATAACATTTGATCCCAAGCCATCAAATAAAACAAAACACCATTAAAATGAAATTAAAAGCAGTTAGAAAYATGACTTTAAATTTTAGCTGTGTATTTATGTACTCAGCATCCTGGAACACTTTATTTTTATTATTRGGGCTGACTCATTTGTTACTGGAAAAGATTATTAAACCCACATTTCTCTGAAAGGTATTTGTCCTTTATTAGCATGTGCCTCAATTTATTCTTCTACAATGTTATTCTAAAAAAAMCCCAGATCTAACCTGTTCCTGTTTCTGATGATTTTTCCCCCCCATTATTTTTCATTTTCCTTACATCTTGGAAAATGCTTTTCCCTATTCATACTGCATTATTTTCTCAATCTACTGTAGCATTTTAGTATCAACAGAGCTGGATAATCTGAGTTAGTGAAGGGGAAATTCCATACTATATACACCTGCTAAAAATTAAGATATGCTTGTGTTTTGCTAACCTACTAAGAAATTAATGCACAAGAAAAGCTATTTTCTATAAGGCAATCACACATTCTCTAGAAAGACATATTAGCTGTTATTTAAATAATGTTTTCTACTACAGTTTATTCAAATCCTGACATAGCTATTTATTTTCTGTATAAAGTGTTTGTTTTCTATGTCTAATCTTCACTGACACTTTCACTGAAAYGAAATATAATAGTTCATAAAGTTCCAACCAGGCCTGGAAGTTCAGCCAACTCAGAGAATTCCTTAAAGATAATCAGCTCTACCTTAGCCAGGAAAAACAGAAATGCTGAAAATTATACATCTTTTTTGTATGACTGCATGATGGTAGATTACATATAAAACAAAGAACTCCTTTAATTTCTTAATTCCTAGAGGAAAAAAATATAAGATTATACAATTACATTGCTGTAATATTTCCATGAGCTCTGAATTTTGTTATTCTTTTAAATTATATTCATCAAGAGCAATGCAGACCAGACTGTGAGTGGTGTCAAGTCAAAGTTGTATAATTTTACACATACACTGCACTTTTTGGGCATAAGTCTTCCACATATTTTTGCACCTATTTGGWAGAAGGGACAGGAGAATCAGGCYTCRCAATTGTTTCATTTTTTTAACACTGGAGATTCCRTATTTTGGTTTTGGCACTTCTGAGRTCTTTCTGGACATAGAAGTATGTTTGTTTTTAAAGATGTGTCTTAAATGTAATTTTGTGGTTGTAACAGGATTCTAATGTGGATGACACCACTGTGAACTAGAAGTGACACCACTTAAAGCAGGAGAATTATTTTGCTAGTCAAGTGGAAACAAAAATTACAATATGACATTGCGGAAAGATATTCTTTAAAAGATATAGCAAAATAATTACAGCTCAATAAAGTATCAAAGCAACACAAGTCAAAAAAATGCCCAAAAGTTAAAGAAATGTGTTTGCAGAGATATTTCTTTTTATTAGTTTGGTTTATATGTGACTTCTATATMACATGACTTGATTACTGTTGTTGACCTAATTTCTGATTTTGCCAGTAAGTACAGGACTAAAAAAGTTGTGTCCAATTAATGTTTTGTGAACAGATTGTGCAGAAATCTACAATGAAGGCCATAAGCAAAATGGATTTTATAAAATAAAACCACTCCAGAGTCCTACTGAATTCCTTGCATTCTGTGAYATGTCTGAAGGAGGAGGTTGGACTGTTTTTCAGAGGCGTTCTGATGGCAGCCAGAATTTTGATAGGTAGGTACTCGTCTTGGTAATTAAAATTGGAAATAAAGTGAAGAAACATTAAACCAGATGGAGGTAAGTTAAATCTAAACTTCAGAAGTATACGAATAAGTTGTTATCTTAGATAAAAGGGAGGAATGGTTATTGATGATGAGATACCACTTCTGGCTCTTGCTTTGGCTGTCTTCTGTGAGACATCCATCCCTTCTAGTSTTGTCTGACAACTTTTTTCTTTTATATGAGGGCCCTTCAATTTCAAATGCAAACAATTGAGTAAAAGACTAGCTTGTCTTTTGCAATTAATAAAAATCTAAAAAGTCAAAAGTGTAAGSAATGTGCTTGAATCCAAAACACCATCAGCCAACAAGTATGAGAGAAACCYACCACATAAGTATTCTGTAACTTATGGTAAAATGCTCCCAGGGAAGATAAAATGGGTGAGAACTTGATTTGTGCATACCTAACCTCCTTGCTTTTTCCAAGACTCAWGTGCATTTTCAGAAATGTCCAGAARAGAAAAYTTTGGTCCTGTGAGCCAAAATTTAAGCCATTTGTGAGTGAGGAAAACTTCTTTCATGATATATGATCAAATAAGTTGCAAAAGAATACTCCAATATTTAATGAACTTWCAAAGATTTCGGCAGAGGGCTGATTAAAGATCATTAAATGTTGGAGCAATTCCCCTATTAGGACAGGTTAAGGCTGTCCCGTTTGCAGAAGAGATGGATTCAGCAGAACTTCATAGCAACCTGCCTGCACTTACAAGRTCAGTAAGACAACAATTTGCGAACTCATTGACTAAAAATGTTCTTCACAGAGGTGTCTTGGGGGAGAAGTAGAAACAAAGTACATAAGTTGAAACAGTACAGCCTCAGTCTGGATATAAGGAGAAACTTTTTTACCATGAAAGGAGTCAGCAGGTTGCCCAAAGAGWATGTGAAGTCTCCATCCTTGCAAGTTTTCAAGATCTGAATGGACAAGCCTTTAACAGCCTGGGCTGATCTCATGGCTGATTCTGGCTTGAGATGACATTTGACTAGATTGCCTCCTGAGGTTCCTTCCTGTTTGAGTTATTCTGTGATCTATAGTTGTAGAATAAAACATCCAAACAAACTTGTTTTTTGATAAATTAGAAATTTGTACCCTTTTCAGAGTCTGGGCTGACTATGAAGAAGGCTTTGGAAATTTTGTTTTGAAAAATGGTGAATTTTGGCTTGGTAACAAAAATCTTCATTATTTGACTAATCAAGGTAAGATTTGTGTTGGAACAGTAGTCTTACTGTTTCTGTTTCTTTGCTCTTCCCAGACCACTTTTGTTTCCCTTTTAGTTACCATAAGTACTGACTTACGTAGTTAATCTTCATGGATTTCTCTAATTTTCAGAAAAAAACCCTCATTTGAATATATGTTTTCTAAGAAAAGAAACTGTCTTTAGGCCACTGACATACAATGAGGCCCTGTGAAATAGGGAGGAGGAGACAAGAGTRTATCTTAGGAGAATTGTCTATATCCATTTTGCAGTCAACATCACTAACAGTGTAGTCTCGTATGTTCTTTTAAATTTAATCTTCTACTATAATGCGCAGTTCTGAAAAGTAATGAGATGGCTACTTTAACAAAAATAATTTGTATTGTTATTTTTTAAGGGAATTATACTTTAAGAATTGATCTTACTGATTTTGAAGGAGAACGGCGTTTTGCACAATATGCAAAATTCAGAGTTGCAGGAGAAGAGGTAATAAAATATTAAATGACTAGAGGTTTTAACGAAAACTTGGATTTCACAGACAGACAATAAATACACAGTTTTCCTAATTTTCCACGAAAGTTTGTGTAGAACTATTGTGTAGAATTTGTGTAGAAATTATTACCATATTTTCTTTCTTACAATTTTCAAATGCATAATAAAAATGTTTTACCCTGACACATTAAATTCAAATTTTCTGGAAGATGTATGAATCCATTGGTTTAGCAGATGTGGATAAAAGCARTTTTTCTGTTTTTGTTGATATTACYAACAATAATGGTACAAGATRTTTTGATTTGTTAATWTACATTGCAAACTAGCCCTAATGTTATTTTTATTGGGTCATTGATATATCAGGTTAATGACAAGTTTTATCCCTGTTAAGCATTATTTAGTAYACAGTGTTTAAGTAGCATGACTTTTCTTAGAATAAAAATAGCAGCAAATGGAACAGATTAGGTTCCWCTTTGTGGTTTTACTCTCTGACATGTCAAGGGCTAAAGACATGTTGGAATTTCATTTTTTTTTCTTTCTTCACGTTTTTTATTAGCATTCTTATGAGATGAGTTGTGGTGAATACTCTGGCACAGCTGGTGATTCCCTTACTGGTGATTTTCATCCTGAAGTAAAATGGTGGGCTGATCATCGAGGAATGAAATTCAGTACTAGAGACAGGGATAATGACAACTATGAGGGGAACTGTGCTGAAGAGGAAAAGGCTGGCTGGTGGTTTAACAGGTATTTTGATTTTGCATAGGTACTGTCAAGCATTCTGCTCCATGTGTATTCATGAAATAGTAACATATGGTAGAAGATAGATTGGGATAGTTTATTTATTTGCAATGTGCCCCTGTCCCCAGCAGAGATGTCAGTGCTGGTAAGACTGAGGGTCACCTTAGAAGGGACAGCACCTACTGTGCCGCTCAAGCTGGTGTGTGATAACGGTATTTGCCATAGGTCATCTTTGTTATCAAGCAGTGAGGAGGAGATAATTCTGCCCCTCTGAGGTAAAGGTAACTAGTTTTTACACAAGTAGGTCATGTAGAGTTTGCAGATGTATCCCTGCTGTACTTCACTCGTTGCACTAGACCAGATGTGGCAGCACTGCAAATATCTGACAAGCTAAACTAGTGCCAGCTTATCAAGACTCATTTTTTTCACCTCACTTCACAGCATCTCACTCTTGTTATTCTTTCTAAATGGAGATGATAATGTGTCCACTCAGTTTCTGTCAGTGTGCATGTCTGGACTTGGTGGAAGATTTTTTTAAAATAGGGTTCAGTAAAAGAATTTTAAAATTCTACTTACATGCAATATACCAAATCAAAAAGAAAGGATAAAACTGGTAGTCTTAGCACAGCCTGCACAGATCACCTATGTTCGTTCCTGTAATTAATTAGATAAATATAGCCATGAAGAGAAACTGCAATCTAACTGTGTAATAGAGAGGTTTAAAATACAGCTCAGGGAAGCATACTACTCTCACTGTGATCTCAGTTCACTTGGCAAGAGGTGCCAGGCTGGATCAACTCCATTGTTTYTCTTGTGTCATCCTTTGTTTCTCTTTTTAACTCCTCATTTGCCAAATTCTGTTTTTATAAGTAGTCTGTRACTACCTTAGCTGATATGATGCAGCTATTAACTCAGTGTTTCATAATTAACTACTTATTTTTATACATTATAACGTATTTGCATGGTTGGCCAGTCAGAAGAATGTTTGAGGCATGGAAAAAGTCATATGTAGATGAATTTTTTTTGCATTTCTCAAGGAAGCTAAGATATAAAAGGGAAAGGAAACTGTGTTGGAGATTATTTTCCCATGAAATCAGAACTTTTGTAGATTTAAAGGAATATCTGGATGYCAAATCACATAAAACTGATACCATGCCATGGAGTTTAGTAAGTGTGCATCACTAATCACTTTTAGACCACTGCACACATTTTTGTCTTTTAAAAACGTTTTTTTAGAAAATACTAGATTGATCTGGACAAAAGAATGACCACTTTACAAAAGTAGCTGTACAGCAGRACTTGACAGTTATTTATACCTTGTAGTTGGTGCTACATAACTTCTAAAGATAGCTGACTCCTACTAGGCTAGTTCTTATTATGGCTTGTAGCTCATGCTCTTAAAGTGACAGTCTAGCTGGATAATGAAGATGAGTTACTGAGAGTGTTATTTCASTGCCTTGTTACTGACTTTTTTGTGTTAAGCCTAACATAAAACTGAAAACTGCAAAATACTAGAAAATTCCAGTTTCAGTAAGTCCTACTCMAAAGAACAGTACTGGCAGAGAAGGAAAGCTCTCGAAACACATATTTGTCATGCACAGATTAGCAAATATAGAAGGAATCAGTATTCTTGGCTGGTTTGTATAAGAGCTCCCAGCTATGAAGGAATTGTTTATAGCCAGCTCAATGCTATTGGGACTAATGAAATACAGAAGAGCCCAGATAATATGAAAACCAAGGGATGTGACACAAGTGAAGCCCCATGGAAGTAACTCATATCTAGTTTAAAGCCACCAATATTGCTCCAGCTCAGCAAAATGGCCTCTACAGCAAAATGGTCCCTTTTTTAAGCAAAGCCGTACCAGAGATTTTAATCTTGAATGCAAATCCACAGAGCTGGGTTCACTCTCTAACTACCTGCAGGTCATAAGCTTTCCAGCACCCAGGGCATTGCAAAGCTCAGTAGGTTTGTAAGTAGTGAAAGCAGGGTGAACAATTCTACTTGGACAGGAGCTTATTCTCTCCCAGCACTCCCATTTTTAGTTATACCATCTATGGATGGTAACAGGGATCCGTTAGGTGACAACTTGGGTCCAGATATCACTAGCTCAAGCTTCCTGCCACACCAATCATCCCAGAGATTGCATAASTACATTCATGTGGGGAACATAGTGCAGTCAGTAAATGCAAACAGACTACAAAGAGTTCTTCAGGCAACCAATTCATATCTCTCCATATCTGCCACACAGTTAATATATAATAGAGATACAATTGGTACAGTTGAGAGCTGACTGTACTTTTGAAATTACTGCAGTGTATTATKATATTATATTATCCTATTGAAAAGATAGGAGGAACACAGGCTAACTTTAAGGTGTTTATTTACTGGTGAATAATGAATGATGTTTCACAATATCGTATCAATAATTACATGCCAGTTGTTAATTTAGTATGTCCAGTTACTTTGGACAGCATGTAGTTGGATATTGAATACTGTAATTTTTGCTACTCATGCTTCCCAGCACTAATTAAGACCTTTTGCTGGCTCATACTGCTGTTGACAACAATTATGGTGTGCCTTGTTATGATTCTTTTAATGAAATCTGTGTTTTGATTCAAAGTAGGCAGAGTGCCTGCTCATTGCAGAATTTGTATGATTAGAAAGATTATGTCAGCTTTGTTACAAGTTTGTCCTTCTCAAAAACAAACATTTTTGATGTCCACAATTCATAAGCTTTCAATTAACACATTTATCAAAACTGACCTTAAAAATTATAAGCAATAAATAAGCATATGTAGATGAGAATTTTYCTGTGGGGCTTTTATAACTGTTTTTATTTAAGCTCTCAAAAACTTGGTTAACAAAGTGTAAACAAAGCCAAAAAGAMTGAGATTTGCCAGTAACCATATTCATAAGGTTCATTTGAAATGTATTCTGTTTGCTTATTTTCTGAAGTCTGCCTTTGAAATCCATCATGGTGTTCAACAGCTAGATATTAAAAGCATTTATAATGAAACACTGAATTGGCAGATAAACCAAGCTGATTCATCACAACATGCTGCAAAAGGAACAGCCAGTTTGCTCTCCATATGGTCACATAAAGATTTAAACTTMTTTCTCATAGAAAACAAGCAAGTATCAAGGCTGTGCTGGTTCCTACTCAAGCATTTTGGGTTTTGCTAGTGTTTCTTGTTTGTTTCAACCACTGTATCTAACAAACTATAGCAGCATTTCTGCCTCAGTCTGTTAAAAACCATCAAAAGTCCCTTAACATAAAATAATATGCCAGCTCCGATGATCCTGTGAATTGTTAGACAYACGTGTAATTCACTGCCAGAATTAATCTATGTGTAAACAGAAGTCCACAGGTGAATAGGCAAGGAATACCACTGATGGTGGTATTCAAGTTTTGTCAAATAAAATACCATGTCATGTAACTGGAAAATGTAAGGGGAGCTACTCTTGAACAACAGAAGAACACAATAGTATTTCTTTCCCAGATTTTTTTTCTTGGTGTAGGCCCTGCTGTCATCCATGCTGAACAACTCTGGAGTAATTTTCCACTGAAACAAATTAGCAGGAAAAACTCCAAGAGCTCATAATGTCAGAAAACATGGAAAGAATCAGCAGCCGCACTTTTGTTTAAAAAGAAGTGAAAAACACTTGCAGTTGTGCCCTAATTAAACCACTGTTGTTTATGCGCACAGAATCCACAAGTGCAAATTTATGCAGCYGTCAAACTAGGCTGGTATCAACACGGCAAATTTTTTGACTTGCAGTGAAATGAGAAATGCTTGAAACTTTTCAGCAGGAGGCCTGATTGCTGTTTCCCTTTTCTTTCCCACCAGGTGTCACTCTGCCAACCTGAACGGTTTGTACTACAGAGGGCCCTACACTGCCGAGACAGACAACGGGATTGTTTGGTACACCTGGCATGGGTGGTGGTATTCCCTAAAATCCGTGGTCATGAAGGTTAGACCTGCAGATTTTGAACGTAATATTGTTTAAGTATTTCATTAACACATTCACCTGGTTAATCTTTTAGGAAATTAATTCCAAATTATAATGGGCRGATTTTTACTTCTCAATCTGTGCGTGTATAAATTTAGAATAATTCCTCTGAAACCAGTAGTTTTATGAGATGTAAGTGAAAAGACAGGCTAGCCTATGAATCTTTAGATATAAATAATAATGCTAATATGGGTCCAGGATTTTTTTGAAAAGGCATCTTTATCAACATGGAGAATTAGGAATAGACATCTTTAGGAATAGACATCTTTATCAACATGGAGAATTTTTGCCTTATAGTAACTACAAATCCTTTCATCCTTAAAGGCAACAGTATTGTTACTGTGTTGCCTCAAAAACAAAAATTAATTGTACTTATTACAATTWAAAAAGACTACTCAGATAGAAGCATAATGTTTACTCAGTGAGATAGAAGCATAAAGTTTACTCAGTGGATGGAACATACCTGCTTTAGAAAAGTTCACAACTTTCAAAATTATAGTTTCCTGTAAATTCCTCTAATGTAATGGTTGCATGTGTTGTGTACATAGCATACATAAAAGGTATAAAGAATGACGCAGGGAACTGAGGAAAGAGAAGGGATGCTACTAGGGTAGAATCAATTGAATTCAGCTTAGAAGTGTCTGTTGTTTGCTGAAGCATTGCTAAGGCTGGTCAAATTTCAATCTAACATTTTTAGATAGTCAATAATTATGCTTTTCTTGTTCTTGGTAACCATCATGCCTTTTAAAAAAATATTTCTTTTTAGGGTCTTTTTTTTAGTTTCCTTTCGAAAGACTTTAATACGCTGATATTTGGAGTTAATAAAAGCTGCATGTGAGCTAAGCTTTGAACAGAGGTCATGTATAGAGGGAAGTGTATTTCTTGTGCAGCAAAAATCTGTCATTTCAGAGGTTCTTAGTGCTTGGCACTATAAATCTCTGCCTTCTTTTTGTATCTGTTAGATTTCAAAACTCTCRTCAGTCACTACTTCTCCTCTTCCTATGTACTTGTTTAGGCTCTCTGGGKTTTTTTTCCATCTCAAGCTGCAGATCCATATTTTTCTTGTACAAGAAAAATGGTAAAAGAGACTCTGCCTATCCCTGTTTTTTGTGCATAGTACTACAATAGAATCTAATAGCCAGTAATAACAAGAGTTGCTGATTTGTGCTTGCTGCCACGGAGAAGATATGAACACCTCTAGAAAGCCATCCAATGAAATGCAGTCCATTTCTGCTGGGCAGAAAGGAAGACTTCAAAAAAAAAAAAAAAAGATTCTTAGCTTGCTTTCCTTAAATAATTTTGCTTTTGTGGTTGAACTGCCACTCTCTCTCCCTCTGTCCAAATACAGTTTTTGAATGTGGCAGCCACTTCCAGTCACACTTAATATAATAGAGTCAGTTTATAACTGCATTGCTATGAAAACAGGTCAGCTGAATGGTAACTCTCTGCATGGCAATTTTTCCTTCCATTTTCATCGTCCCAAAAGAAAAGTCTTTTAAYGATCCTTGGAAGAATTTCACGGAATAAGGGAGGGAAGATGTTTGGAACAACTGGAGGGACAAAAAAGGATTTATATTAAACAATCACACTCAATACTATAAATCAGATTACACCTAAACAAAACAAAAACAAAACCAAAAGCAAACAAACAAA